GCCTCCAAAAAGGCCTCCGGTTGACGTAGCATCCAGCGGCCTGCTGCTTGGGAGACGTAGAGCTGGAGGTAAACACCTCCCACACAGACGACCTCCAAAGAGTCAGAAGGGAACCCTCCTGTTTCAACACCCTCCCTATCAATGAGTTTATGAGCGCGGAGCGCAGCAGTTATGGCACTGGCATAAGAGACGGCGTAGGCGTCGGGAAGGGACCACTTGAGAGCGTGGTTCTTCTCCTGTTGGCGGTTGAATCTGTGAAGGCAATAATATGATCTGAACAGGAGGCAAACTGGTCTGACATCTTGGTAATTATAAATCGCGAGAGTGATTTGAGTGAACAAACAATACTTTCTATTCTCACAGTCTTCTCCAACAATCTGATCTTGGAAAGTGTCCAACAAAGTAGGAGAGAAGAGGAAGAGGTTGAGGAAGGAAGGAGACTAAAGACTCACCGGTTGCACATGTCGGTGATGGCCTCGATTAGGTGTTCTCGACAATCCTGATTCCAAATCAATTCCGGATTGAAATGATCCGCTGGATGTGTGTAAAAAAAAAGAGAATCAAGTGGACTTTCATTTCACAAAACTTGTCTCTCGGTGGAAGAAGTGATCAGCGATGCACGAAGGAACAAAGAGTCACCCCTAGGAGTAACGGCGAGATCCTCAAACCTTCCCAGCAAAATTTTGCCTATTAAACCGTACCTTTGAACAACACCAAAGGCTCATCTTACATAATACGGGAATATGAAATTGTATTTGCTTAAAGGAAACAGCGATTCCGCCCCTCTCCACGACTCCAACCAAAACGCAATGACAACAAAAAATACTAATAAGAGTGAAGGAAAGGAAAAAACTGTTTTAAGGTTAGGGGTAAAAAGTTCCGACGGAAATTGAGTTGTGCAAGGAAAAGAGCCGTCCAAATCAAAGGCGCTAGTACACTTGGTAGCAGCATAAAGCACTGTCAACAAGCCTTACGCAATGCATGGAGGCCAGCGGTGATGACAATGCGACATCAAAATGAGAGGCGTCAGCGTCCTCACGAATCAACAGCAACTGACAATAACTCAAGGGGTCGCAACAAATAGTTTTACCGGGTGTTCAGTGTACACGCACATAATGACACCACAACAAAGTCGCTTACAATCATAGAGTGTAACAAACTGTTCCGGTGAACCTCGGATAGTTTCGGGGAATATGGAGGGTAGAAACTGGCCCAATAGTGCCTGAATTCGTCGCCCCAATTGAGGATTGGCCAGACATCGACTAAGCAATTCTGCTGATCCACGTCGGACCTCTGGCACCTCTGAAGTTGCTATTGCCTCTAGGAGGTAGATCAACCCTCCAGCATACACGAGTTCCTTTAACAACGAGTTCAATGAGACTACGTGAGCAAAGAAGTCCAACAACGGCAGATGCGCTGAAAAATGGAAGTACTTTTAATGAATCATTGGTTTGTTCAAGCCAGAAGTTCGTGCATTGAGTCATAGAAACTGACCAATAGGTAGAGCGCGAAAGAGAATAACAGCTATAACAAGGAGATTTGATGCGTAGATATCATTCAGGCACTCCGAATTCTTCGCCACAGTATGGAGAACTTCAATGGATCGCAGTTTGAGGTCGGTATAACCATTAAGTTCGAGAATACCGAAGAGGATGCCAAAGTGACCAATGCACTGCAGTTCAACACCTATCATAAAAACAAATGGCTACTTGCGCAACCTAAGTAGAGGCGATTTTTAGATGAAAATCTAACCAGTATAGCTGCGGACAACGTTGCAGAGAGCTTCCAGTGCAGATTCGAGATGGGCGACGCGTCTGGTGGTGGTTGGAAGACCATCAGAAGTTTTTGGAAGTAAGGCCAGTTCCACTTTGAGATAATTCAACAGATCAATGACAAAACTCTTTGGGTTCTAATTCAAAAAAATAAAGGAGGGTATGAAAGACCATAAAAGGGTACTTGTCATTTCATCCACGTCGTTAATATCTACCTCTTGACCACACAGACTTTCAAGCTACCAGCCCCACCCAATCTCACCGGTGTGTTATTTGACATCCAACCTTTGTTCGACCTTTGGACAAATAGTAGTTATAAATTGAACATCAAATCAACTCATACTTAGTCAAAGTTGAAGTAGAATAACACTTTTGATCAGTTTATCCACAGCCTCTCGTCAATGCATCTACTTGTGCACTCATTCCGCAGTTCGGTAGTTTGTGGTCCGCGCAAATCCTCCAGCAGCCACCTACATTCATTCTGCTCACCACGTTGCCGCCTCGTCAATGATGCTCAGTCTTTTCGTCCACCTTGACCTCCATTTGTTCAGCGTGTAACTTCAAGCCACTTGCATGTTCACTTGTCAATCCAAGACCTCGCCATCCGTTCAACCATTCGCCAAATCTTTCGTCCGCCTTCCCACTAAGGCATTCATGCATTGACAGCCAAATGACGCACCTTACGGCTGCCAACTCAGTGCGAGACCACTGGGTGTGTGACCATGTGATGGGGGATAAGCAATTTTACCACATTTACTGTGAAATAGCCATTTGATGGTAGCCTTTTTGAAGGGAAAAGAGTACAAACTACTCAAGTGTTGAAGCAAAGCGGCACGGAAATGCTGACGACGCTCCCCACCTTTCGCATTGTTGCCTCCTCGATTTCTACTTCCATACTTTTATGCATAAATTGGTGGTTGGTTGATGTCAACCGACAAAGAGGTCCACTTTTCAGTCCAAAAGAGGCCGCAATAGGCCAATTCGACTTGTTTAAAGGTCAAATGATTGCGAAAACACTGACCATTTCAATGATTTGTCAAAATGGTGACATTTTTGGTGCGTTTTCACGAGGGTCTCCTCAAAACACCCAACCAAGGGGATCAGTGAACGAAAGAATTTGAGATGAATACTTAAGACAGGAGAGTGAATGAAGGGATCAGGCATGCATGGATGAGTGGAGACGGCACAGATGAGCAGACATGTAGACAGAGATGAGGAAATAATTTAACACTAATGAATGTCATGTTCATTCTCAAAGAGCACTGCAATACAACACCCCCGAACATAGAGCCAAAAAGTTTTTTGGCACGTCTTTCAGATCAATCGCGGCTTTCTGCAGAGTCAACCAACTCCTGTGAGTGGGTGAGAGGACGGAAACAGTGCTTCATACACGGACGCACATGCAAAGCAGTCGACAGCAGATGGTGTCAAGGAATGGTGGGTTTAGGCTACTCAGATACCCTCGAAATCCGTGTGTGTATTCATTGCATGGCTTGCAAACATGCTTTCCTTCGAGGACGTTGAAGAGTTGCCACCTGTTAAAAGTCACCGGTCGTCTTTGCATAGAACACGCCTTCCAATCAGGTGAGATTCAAGAATCCCCTTTGAGGAGTTTGAAAGAGCATTCACTTACCGCCACGCATTTCTACTAGTCACCATGCATCCTTTGACAAAGCATTGAAAGGTGATAATTTGCAGGGAATAAATAACTTATGA